TCTTTCTTTTTTTTTTTTTTTTAAGCCACACATCACATGGGTACCCCTTCTATTCTGGGGGACAACAGTCCGGTTGCTGATCACCGGCAAGTGGATCAACAAGTCCTTTACAAGCATCACATGCGACCGGGAGACACCATGCCTCACCTCCCCTTCACTCCCTCCTTTTATTCCTCCCCCCCTCCTCCCTATTTCTCCGCACTTAGGGTCTTGCCGCTTCCCCTCATGTCCCTTAGAGGTCCATTGTACTTATTGTGAAAGGCATTCCACGATTCAGACCCCAAATTCGTATCCCAGGGTCGAAGTCCCAGGCCGAAAGAGGCCAAGTAGGCCAGTTTCAGAAAGGCAAAGTCGGGTGCCCGAGAGGTCGAGTCCAACAGGCACCCAGTCAACAGTCATGTCCAAGAGGCAAAAGTCACATCCAATAGGTGAAAATCACGTCCCACAGTCATAAGTCATATCCCACGAGCAAGGGTCACGACCAACAGGCAAAGGTCACGTCCCACAGACCCAACGCAGCACCACACCAAGGAAAAACCCAAAAGGTACCGGGCCTCACATTCTGAAGCAAACAGGACTGGCTAGCCACATTTCGGACAGATTGCTCATTCACAAGAAGTGCAGAAGTGCTGCTGGAGCGCTTGTGCACTATCTGCGAGAGGCAAAGCGCTGGAGCCCTGGCTGGGCAGCACTGGTTGGGGAAGGCAGCCATAGCCGCAGAGCTTGTAGCAGGGAATAGAGCTGAGTAGCGGCACATGTATTCAGAGTCAAGGTCTTCAAGTAGAGAGAGAGATAGAGAGGGGAGAGAGATAGAGAGAGGGAGAGAGTGAACGCATGCACGAAGGGGACAGAGAGAGAGAAGTGAGGCAGAGGAAGAGAGAGAGAGAGTCACTGCTGAACTCTGCGCTCATGAGCGCTTGATGAGTAGAACTTGGAAACTATTTAATATGATAATCCGTTGGATTTTCTAAGCTGTGCTAATTTGGACTTTGCATCTCTGGTCTCCAGTGAGGATTTCGTGTGATCTCTCAATGTGTATGTGTGCTCGAGGTGACGAACAGTGAGGTTCAATGCAATTGGTATTGGAGCAGATACTCGCTGCATCTGCTGTTCACGAGCGTTGACAAGATTAAGGCTGTCGAGATGAGATTGGAGTTTGACGCTGAGGCTGAAGGCAGTGAAGGCCGAAGAAGAAGTGACCAGGTTGGGGGATGTTGATTACGTACCTGCATGCGAGGAACGATCGAGGAGCTTCATCAAAGGAACGTTCACAAGTGAAGTGCATCACCCCCCTAAGCCCTGCATTTGCTTTAATGAATGAAGGAGTGACACGGTACCTTCCCACATCTTGGTGTCGCTGCTGCTGGACATAAAACTTTGAGACATGTCTGGATTTTGTCTTGAGTAAGCATTTGGTCACACACATTTGTATGAAGTAGGTTGTGTTTAGGATAGAAGCTCGACAGCTGGATGACTCACCCGTAAGTAGGGAGCATGGATACGAGTCGCGAGCGCTCATAAAACAACTCGTCTAGCCCTAAGACCGGTACTGACCGACATGTGACCGAACCGGAGCTGACGCAGTGAGGAGCTGTAAGTCTTGAGAGAGAACCTTCAGATCCTGGTGGGCACGACAACCTGTCTACGTCGTTAAAGAATTCCTGAGGTCCTTGCTGGCTGAACTTAAGCTGCTGGTTGCCCACCAGCCTGACATGGTAGTTGTAGTGACACTGTGGGAGACGAAAAACTCAGGCAAGTCAGACTCCAATCTAGACTAGATAGATTCAGTGATGAGGGCCATTGAGGGCTAGGTCTACGTGGTGAGGAGGTGGAGGCTACTTACCTGTGGCTTTAGTCACCATGGATGACTACCCCATGTCTGCATTCTTGACCCTGTTCGTGCTATGGCGTCCCCTTCTCTGATTCCTCTTTCCTCTAGGATTCCACCGGGCAGGTGCCATGAGTGTAACCATGAGGTTTGGTGGGACCACACAACTATATACAGTTGATCAACAGGCATAAATCGATAGCAAACTGGCTGAAAAGAAAAAAGAAAAGGAGGAGGAGGAAGTGAAAGAAAAATTGGAGCAAGAGAGGAAGCGAATAGAGGAAGAAAAAAAGAAAATGGAGGAGGAGACGAGGAAAAAAGAAGAAGAGTTGAAGGAGTTAGAAGAATAAGAAGAATAAAAGAAGAAGAAGAAGAAGAAAAAGAAGAAGAAGAAGAAGAAGAGGGAGAAGGTTCAGAGAGAAGGAGAAGTAGACTTGAGGGAGAAACAAGGCCTGAAGTCGCAGAAACTAGGCGAGCTGGTGAACTGAGGTTCAGGGAGGTGGAGAATGAGGACTGGGTGGAAAAATTTGGGTTTCATACCGAACTGCCAGCAGAGACAAATGCTGAAAGGGAATGGCAGCATGTGCAGATCAGGAAGGAAATAATCTTCTTATGATGGAGGAGAAGCTGAGTGAACTCCACAATCGTTTGCTTGCCCAAAAGAGGAAAGAATATGAAGAAAAAAAGAGGTTGAAGGAAGAAGGGGAGAGACTTCAAAAGGCACTAAGGGAACAAAAGGGCCAAAAAGTGAAAGTGAAGGATACACTTACTCTCCTAACATATACGCTACCCCACACCACCCTCGAACTCGATGCACTACAAAAGAATGTCAGAAAGATTGAGCGACACCAAGAAAAGTTCCAGAGCACCTGGAACAACTTCCTTAGCGCTTCGTCCCATCGGATAGACAAAATGATATTGGATTACGCCCACCAGCTAGATGATCTTTTCACCCATAAGATGGCAACACTATTGCTGCACTTAAGGTAGGTGGCGGTGGTGGGAGTGAAGATGATGGCAACGACAGGGATGATGACAAGAAACGGAAAGGACCCAAAAAGGATGATGGAAAGAAAGAAGGAGACAGGTCTGAGGGAGGAGAACGAAGGGAGAAGATGAAGGTTAAGTTCCCTTGGACATATACTGGGAAGAGGAAGGAGAGCATTTTCTATTGGGAGGCGGCGATGAAAACATACCTGTATGCGTAGTTGATTCCGTACTGGGATCGTGTACTTATGGCAAGTTTGTGCCTCGGGGGAGACACAACAAGCTTCACCATTTCGCTAGTGAAGGAGGCCGGATGCACCTCGATGGTGCAATACTCATAGCGCACTAGGATTGAGGACTTCTTCAAAACTTTGAAGGACCGCTTCGAGGACAAGAACTTAGCTCGTCGCACAAAGTCCCTCATCCTCCGCAAGTGCAAGGGTGCGTCGACACTCAAGGCCACCATGGACGAACTGCTGCAGTGTCCCAATCATGGACTGACCCCCGCTCAAATTTTGAATAACTTTGCTAGAGCATTGCCAGAGCCCCTCAAAACCCAGTTATATCCCTGTACTAAGAAAAAGGGGATGGCCTATGAAAAGTTTAGCAAGATAGATGTAGACCATGCCAGGTTCCTGCAAGAGGCAAACTATTGCCACTATTGGAAGGATCTGGAGGCCGGTAAGAGATGAAAGAATAAAACCATATTTGGTAGTATAGATAGTAGATACTATAGAGGGAAAAAACAATCTGTTAGTCACCTTCGAGGAAGGAGGTGTAGAGTCATTGCTCTATGACCAGATAGACTATGGTTTAGAAGAGGATAACAACAGGCAAGTAGCCCGGGGAGGGGACTATGCGGCAGTTGCAGCCCTTGGGGGAAGGCGTCAAGGTAGAGGCCGAGGTAGAGGAGGCAAAGGTAGAAGTGGAGGTCGAGGACCCGCTACTCAGAGGGGTAGTGGCAAGGGTAGCTACTACGAGGGAGGTAGGGGTTACGGTCCCTCGCAATGTGGTACAGATTCTCCCTTCATAGGGGGAAGAGGTAGAGGTAGGAATTGGCGGCCGTACCCAGCACACCCGGGATAGCTGAAGGCAAACCTTGGGAAGAGATGGGTATAGATGAGAAGGTATGGGAAGACCCACCAATGTTTTAAATGTGGTGACCCCAACCACATTGTTCCCTTCTGTCTTGAGTGCAGATACCCAAAAGAGAACTGCCAGTAGAGGTTGCAGTTGCCTCTACGGGGACTTCGGACACAAACAGGAAGATAGTTCTATTATTCCACCTTCTTTGTATAACAGGGATTTCCAAACTTTAACGAGGTATTTATTTGCCTTTCATTTTGATTCTATCACAGTTTCAGGGGGTGGATGCGATTCCACACAGGGAATTTTTGTGTGAGTCTCCATGCTGCTGTGAAGGAAAGTCCCTGGCCATACCTACCGACCATCGGTATACATTCTGACAATGGCAATGAGGTTGTCGGCTTGTAGCAAAATTTCTGAGGGTATTGCATGGCTTTTCTCCTTTGCATCACTTGTCCTTTTGGTTTCTCTCTCCGGGCTTCTACTGAGTGGGGATGGGATGTCTTGCATTCAATTGATGCCTAACTCACCAATAGCTTGCCTAACCTGCCGATTCACGCAGGGCCACGGAAAGTTTAGACCAACTGGAGCAAAATGGCTGGTGATGCCTGGTAGGCTCTTGCAGACGACGGTTCAGAGATTTTATTTTAGAGGAGGCTTGGAGGTACCAGTGGTTTAAGGAGTAATTGATGGCTACTGTTTTTGCTAAACCGTGCACGTGAATCACTGCTGAACTCGGTACTGCGGTAAACAAACTGAATGCAACAATAGTGCCATCCATGGTTGTGTTGTTAGCCATGGCAGAAATTCCTGATGATGATCAGATGATCAGAACAAACTGGAAGTGGAAAAAAGCAAGAGTCAGATTGAAGGCTATATCCTGCTGTCTACGTCATAGCTTGACAAGTGACGAGTTCAAACTTCAAACCATGATGTTAGATGAGTCAGATTGAAGGGTACTGAGTGGCTGAAGAGGCTGCACGGGGCAGCAAACCCTCTGGTGCCCCCTGAGGTGTCGACTGACCCGTGAATCTGCCTGAAGCTACAGTGCAGTGCCACCATAACTCTACATCACAGCAGATATACTGATGAAGCCGAAGCCGGGTAATTGCCCCTGTACTTTTCTGAAAGTTGTACTCTCTGAATAAGGGATGCTGGACGTGGTTTCCAGCAGGTGCAGCTCCCCACCGATAGACAGGACCCATCTGCCGCCGCAGTGCCGGGAGAGTATCACGGGGGCATGCTTGTATCACCCCCTGTGGCACCTGCCCACGGATGTTAAAAAAAAAGAAAAGAAAAAGGAAAAAAGAAGGGTATATCGTGCTGTCTACGTCATAGCTTGACAAGTGATGAGTTCAAACCATGATGTTAGAGAGTGTAGAATACAAGAACAATGTCAGGGAAGGGGCTTCATCTTTCTCCAAAGAAGTTATTCCTTCACAAGTGGTGAGAGAAATTGCACCAGGGCATCATTTACGGTACTCACACCATCGCGTATGCTCAAAGCTGCTTCTAGTCCAGTGAGCAGAGATATGGCCCGCTGCATGCCCCCTTTTCGATAATAAGAAGCTAATGACACCTCCCCCTTCGTCTCAGTGGGAGGGTTTCCAGTTATTGCGAAAAGTTGCACCACTCTCACAAGACATGGCTCCATAATCTCCTTCATGGTTATGTCTATCGCTGCTGTCGCGTCGTCCGATTTTCCTGAATCATCAGCAGCAGCCATGGTTGCACTTCCATTACTGCTGATCTCTGCTCCTGCTGAGGACCTCTGAAGATCTTCCAGCTTCATTCTTGTTTGCTTTGCAATCAAAGCGCATTCAAACACATTACGGTACTGAAATCTGTTCTCCAGGCAACCGTACTGAATGCCGTCAGTGCCCGAGATGTCTGCGGGTGTGTCCTGGGCCGGCGTTGCATCACCGTCCCCGGCCAAGCCCGGCTTACTAGCAGCAGTGCCAGCAGTGCCGTCTTTTGCCAATGTCTTTCCTATCTCCTCTGGAGCTCTGAGCACGAAAAGATATATCAACGTCAGCGGTGGTGATTGTCGCAATCTTCCGAGACTTAGAACATCCACTGACTGTGCTCCGCGGATATGATCTGCCTCGACTTCCCTGGGCAGAGCCCAGAGGAGCGATGGTGATGGCGGCAGCCACTGGATGCAGACAAGCCCTTGCTTCAGACTAGACTTACTGTTGTTCTGAGGGGTGGGAGGGGTGAACGGCGATGGAAAACAGCACTCCGATTCGTATGCTGCACAGTTGGATCGCAGAAAGTTGTGGATCTTCAGGATGCGTTGCTCGCGCGACGCAATGGAAGAAGGATCGGACGCCATTCCTCCCATTTTGTGCTGCATCAGCAGATGGCGGTAATGGGAGATGAGGAGTTTGGGGAGGTCTTTGTCGGCAACAGGTGCAGTCTTGCTACTTGATGATGCCTCTTTCTTCGCCTCTTTCTTGTCGGGGGATAGAGGAGAGGATAATACTTCTACTTCCTTGTCGGAAGCTGCCGCCCAAGGTGGGAGTGTCCGGGTCCAAAGACGGTACGACTCTGCAGCGATGATGTGCCGCAGAGCAAATTCCGGCATGGCTGCCGGATTCTGAATGCCAACAACTAGCTTATGCAAGTTGTTCTGGAGAAAGCTCGCCATGCTCGACGCCTGGGCTGCTGACGTCAGATAGAATGCGGCATGGGCCGCCTGTGCCCAATGCTTTGCTGGTCCCCCCATGTCTTCATCAGGTTTGTCGTCTGGCGATGTCATCGTCAGCGACAAGCGAGCAAGTTGCTTCATACAACTCTGGATTATCCACCGGTCATGGATGCTTCCCTCGGCGATGGTTCCGTTTGCCGCACGGAGAAAGTGCACCCTGGCATCTGCGTGGCTCTCAGGCCCGGTAAGATGCTGAAAGAATCCCCTCAGCAAATTCATGCACCACTCCAAGCTGGAAGTGGCATTTGCTGATGTTCTGAGCAAGAAAGCCACCTCTTCAAGCTTTGCCATAGCACCTAACACCGAAGGGAATTCTGATGGCGAAACTGCCTGTCGCGTGATTGGCGGCTCATTCACGCCCCGCGGAGGTTCTCGTCTTCCCTCCTCGCTGACGAGAACAGGGATGGATTGCTGGCTGCGGTGATAACCGTCCAGAAAGCAACTGACTTGCCTGAGGAGACAGGTTGCAAGGAAAGCCATTGCGGGAGCATACAAGTTGAGTAGAGCTGGGTCCTTCTGGATGTCATCAACCCCTTGGTCAATTGCAGCTGCACGGACAAGTGATTCCGCTCGATCATAGAGCATAGCGGCGCTTGTGTGAAATCCCAGCTCCCGCTCAAGGTCTCCGTACCTTCACAACTCAGAAAAGCAACAGAAAACCAGTAAGGGAATGGAACATGCAAAGCTGGACATTTGGCTTTTGGTAGGCCATTGCTCAGCCATTTTATTGATTTTCATAACCTATTGTTCATCGCCTGCACGGCCCCTCAGGTATATGCTGTGTAGTATCTACCACTCAGCCACTGGGCAAATGGTACTTTGTTGGGTTCTCCTATACTTTTTTTTTTTTTTAATAATAAAAAGGGAAATGCTCCTAATATGATTGGATCCAGCAGGATTCTGTCTACAGGCCCCCTCGGTCTTCTGGGTGTTTGCCAGGGTTCCCATCCTCGAACCGCCAGTATATGCACCCAACTTCAAAAAGTTCATGGCTCACCCCTAATAATTTAGGAGGCGACTGGACCACAATGGCTATCGGCGCCGGCCAAAAAAGAAAAAAAAGTACACCGCTGGCGGCTCGGTGAAGCTTGGTGCGCAGTGCGACGATGCCAGCCTCGGGTGTACTGGTCCTTTAACGCCCTCAAGACAATTTTTGGCAGCAATAAAATTTTGTTTACACTTGCTTTGCAATTGAGGGCAAAAAGATGGAAGACCTGGGCTGCCAGGGTGGCCCAGGCCCAGCTTCCCGGCTGGATAGCTGGGCCAGTGCAGCCTGAGCCCACTTGGCAGGGTCAATCTGAGCAAGCCAAAAAATGAGGCGCTTTTGTGTATATATATATATAAGGGTTCAGCCTCCTGATGAGTCGGTGAAACTCGGACGAAACAGTTTGTCACAGCCCCTCGTTTGTTGTCCTCTTCTCTCTCTCTCTGCCTACGGTTTACCGGGCAGTTCTGTTTGTGACGATATATATATATGTAGAGTTTTCCATCTGGTGTGGGTGAGTGATAGTCTACGTTGATTTTGGTTAAGGTGGATTATCACTTACAGTGTAATCAGTGAG